CAGCTCAGTCAGTCACCTATATGTTTTGAAAATTCCTTTTAACGCGATTTTAGCTTCAAAATATCGCACGAAACTCTGGTTACGAAAAGCGTACCCCGAGAAATTCTTTTGAAAAAAAAAGCTCGAGAATCACATTTAACGTATACCGTTGGAAACAATTGCTGATGCATATCGACTATTGCTTGCTGAATGTCAAAAACATCCAGATTTAAAAGATTTTGTAATTTATTTTCATAATGAATGGATGATAACATTTAAGCCGTTAACATGGTGTGTTAGCGATGATCCACAACGCACTAATAACGGACTTGAAGGTATGGTTGTTGTACAATGCTTTCTGTTCTATCGCCATTATAAAGTGCAAATAATGCAAAAAAATGCAAAGATTATCAAAAACAGTTTTTCGTTGAATTATACATGGTTGGATAGAGCTCGCGATGCTGATTCCGAATATGTCATTTTTAATTTTTTTAAGTCAAGTTTCGGTTGAGAAATCTTTAAAATCCAACTAACTCCCAAAAAATTGAAAATTTGACCAATCAGAAGAAACTTTCGAATTTCACCTGTTTCTCACGATTTTAACTTCTTGAAAATATGTTATTTAGATTCAGCATTTGTATCATTCGTTTCAGTTTGTGACGCTGATTTCGAATATGATATTTTTATTGCATGAAACTTGAGTTCCGATGAAGAAAACTGAGAATTACGGACAGAATTCCAATTTTTGCGTTTCTTATTTGGAAAATATAAATTTTCTCAGTGACAAAACAAAATAGAAAAAAGCGATGCATTAATCTGTTTCACCTCAACTGACGATTCGAATGGTGTATCATAGAAAGTTTTACCTTTGGGAACAAAAAACTAGAGAGCTTTACAAAACTGAAGAGTCAGCGTGTGCTTTGACGGTCATAGTCGAGTTTGCCCAACGAGAGAGCTAGGATCAAATTTGTTCAAATATAACTTTTTCTACTCAGTTTCAATTGCTGAATCTGAATAACATATTTTCAAGAAATTAAAATCGCGAGAAACAGATGGAATTCGAAAGTTTCTTCTGATTGGTCAAATTTTCAATTTTTTGGGAGTTAGTTGGATTTTAAAGATTTCTCAATCGAAACTTGACTTAAAAGATTAAAAATTACATATTCAGAATCAGCATCGCGAACTCTATCCAACCATGTATAATCCAACGAAAAAATATTTTTGATAATCTTTTGCATTATTTTCATCTTACAAATAATTGCACTCTTTTCTCTTTTTCTTCTACATTATCTTTGTACAGGCTACAGCCGACGATTAAATCAGCGTGTTGGAACTCCACATCCAAATTTGTGGAAATTTCTTCTTCTTCTTCGACAAGAAGAATTCGTTACATCACATCTACTTGTTGAATTAAATTCGCCACATTCACAACATAATGATGATAATGATAATGAAAATCCATCACTCTATTCAATATCAAGAGGATTCAAATCAAAATGGAAAACACAACAGATTACAAATTTACATCAAATGTTAAGTGAACGCAAAAAATCGTTGGCAGAAGTACTTCGTCTTCTTTCGTATTTGGTTGCTGGCAATTCAAAAGCAAAAAAGAACAGAAAATCACGACAACAACGTCAATTGGGTGAAGCAAATAACAAACAACTACAACAACAATTAGATAATCATTAGTTATTTAAATGAAAAAGAATTAACATTGATAGACTTTATTTATCCTTCTTACAAATTACACAGTAAGAACGTTTTCCATTTTCTAAGACAATATTATTTTTGTTCGTTTTACTCTGTTGAAATATAAAAAAATGAAAGAAAGTGAGATAGACTAGAGATTCTTTCCACTAAAACATTCTGAGCATTAGGTAGTCGGGGCTATTCACAAAAGTAAAATGAATTCAGATCTCTCTTTTCTCATTTCTTTTTGATACAAAAAAGAAGATGACTCTTCTTCCATACCAGACATTCTCATTTTTTCGAGTACTTACAGTGTTCTTGTGTTGCGTTAAAACAAATTTGTTTGCTTAGTTATGTGTTCGTTAGTTAGTTCTATTCTTGATGAGTTCTACTTGTGCGATTCTGTTCATTTTTTCTATATTTCTTTGTGGTTTTGTTTTGTTTGTGGTTTCTGTTATCTGGGTTTCAAAAAATTTATGACACTGACAAGCAGGCAAGTACTCACTCACACAGAAAAAAGGCAAATTATCAGAAGAAACAGAAGGTTTTTCCTCATCTATAGTGCTCTGGAGATTGATGTTCTAATAAGATAAGCTTGGATGCATTTGTGAGCTGAACAGACCAAAGGACAAACATTAGGATCTAAAACAGAATCTTTTGAGGCCGGTAGGACAAAATCATTTGCTTAAGGACTACTCCCGCTTGGACTACTTTAGTATACCCTACTTCTACATGCGGTATACATAATACTCAAACAACGCCGCTTTCCATTTTATACTGCGCATCGGCCCAGAGTTTGTGTCGCCACATGTTAAAAACGACAACATAAAGCGCTGTTGTGCACCTGAACTTTCGCCACATGTTGTAACGCGTTATTTGCCGTTATGTTATTACTGTGACGAAAGTTCTGTTTGGGCTATGACGAAAGTCCTACCTATGTTACATAGTTGGTTCTTGTGACCAAAGTGTGGGGTGGCACCCCCAAAAATACCATACACTTTCGTCACGTATGACGAAAGTTCTTTTTTCTATGTGACGAAAATTAACATGACGAAAGTGCTATCTCCCAGTTAATCATTCGATATACAGTAGGCATACACCACCGTAACCGTAAATAACCGCTTTACGTAACATAACGATGTTCGGCGGTTAGTTTTGAAGTTGTGCACTATATGAGCGAACTGCATACCCATTGTTCCGTCATATGCGAAACAGTAGTGGTTTGAGAATTTCTTGCAGTGGTTCTAAAAACACAAAATGAGACTGTAACGTTTTCTAAAGTTATAGCCAAACAGCGCTTATATTTTATGTTTTTATCTTGAGAGCCTTTCGTTCTTTACGGTATTAGGGATCTCCGCACATATTTTTCTTCTATACATTACATTCTTCTCCGGTATAAACGCAGAAATCCTTTATCACAATTCTTTCTTCTTTCACAAGAAGCTTGGGCGTAATGATTGATGAATGTTTGATTGCTGATGATATGATTGTCATTGATTGTTCATAGATGGTCCAACTTTCATAACATTGGTTGATATTGATATTTGGCAACAAAGTTATCAACGCCCTCATTTTTAACGATCATATGATATTTGAATGACATCGAAACTATATTTTTAGATTCAATTTTTCATGCAGAATCAGAGTAGAAAACTTTCAAAAGTCCTAAACTCACTGGGTTGGAGATTTACGGCCGTTTCTTAAAATCTTAAATTTTCAGTTTTTTAAAATTTTCGATCCTCAAAATCGTGACTACCTCACTGTTAGAAGCATGTTATCATTTGAAATGAAAAATTTGAGATTCTGGTGTTTTGAACAGTTTTACCGAAATTCGGCAAAGTGTTGCTATTAGTTAATTATCGTTCGCGAAGCTTTAGTAATGACGAAACGGGTTCATATATACGTTTTTTAAGTGAAGCTCTACATGATCTTCACGATGCAAGCATAAACTCTGTTTGAATGGCTTATTACTGGCATAGCATGATGTCAAATTTGAAAATTTGATCGAGAGCAGATGTGCTCAAAATATGTTTGTTTTGTCCCATTAGATTGAGAATGTGGTTATACTTTTTATATATTTCCTTGACATGCAGTAACCAGTCAAGAAGTTTTGTTAACTACATTCCTAGATGCTTATAATTGTCGACAACCTTTAAAGGAAAAGCGCTGCAGTATAAATTTTTCTTTCCCAAATGGCATAGCTACACATTTTTTTGGATTTACAGATGACTGCCAAAAATTGGACCACCTCTAAATTCTCATCAAGTCAGCGTTCATTATGTTTGAGGCAGAAGTCAAATCGTTTGAGTGGTGATACAGCGAGATATCATCAGCAAATAGTCTTATTTGAGATTGAACATTTGAAACTATGTCATCTACAAATAGAAGGAATATTAGAGGCCCAATAATGGATTCATAGGGAATTCCTCAATTTATTCTCAAAGCTATAGATCTTTGCCCATTCACCAGTGGATCAGGGTGCCAAACTTTGTCAAATGCTTTGAGTAGTCGAGGGTTTCTAATATCTCAAAAGGTGTACCTGAAAATCCGAAAATACTGAGTTTTTAGTATATGGATTTTTGCATGATTTTAGTCTGTCTCTGGCAGATTCGTCTGAGAACTTGTTCCAAAGCTCAGACTGTTGTTCCCAGTAGATCTCAATGTGCTTTATCGAGTGGCGTTATCATCTTTTCTATCTAACAAAAATTGTTCGAGAAAATCTCAATTCACCAGCTTTTTCCATAGGGATCTTTTTCACTAACTGTAATATTTCTCTGCTGGATTCGTCTAAGAACTTGTTTCAGAACTGTGATGCCCGTTACAAATAGGTATGGACGTGCTGTATCTAATAGTATTCCTAGTTTTGTAACAGCTTCCAAAGTTTAAGAGTGTTCCACCGCTTCTATTCTCGTTCCAAAGAGGGTATGGCCAATCCCATCTAAAACTCTGATGATTTTTTAATAAATCGAAATGTTGGAAATTGAAAATGAGTAAAACCGCTACTGTAGTAATACTTTTCTTATTGAAAACTCTAGCAATTACAAACAAAAACTTCATACGGAACCGTCGATTTTGCGTTGTAGGTGAGTTGTAAAGCTGGCAACTTTATTTCACCCGTGCTCAAATCAATAGTCATACCAACGCCATGTGGTACCAAAGAGCTTGTGGTTCGTTTCAGTGAGTGAAACTGGGTGCTTGAATTCGGACAAAATGAACCATGGTAGCCGATAACAGGGCAGAGGTCTGTACGAACTCTATCTAGTAACAGAAGCTCCGCGCATACACGAAATAATAAAACTAATATAAAGTTGAGTAGCAACTGCATTTTAGAAACTATTTAACACATAAATACTGTGCTGAAAGGTAGCACACGTTTATATGTATATCAGCGAAGCGCCTAACCTGTATATGAACTGGAGATGCATTTTGAAGTGTATTGGTTAGTGACGAAAAAATCGTCTGCGTTTGTTTCATTGCAATAAATCTTTTCAAACACTTATGATGTCAGCTTATCTGTATACTTTGTCAGAATATTTACGTCGATAATTTTTTTCGATAAGTAAATATTGTGACAAAGTATACAGATAAGCTGACATCCATCATAAGTGTTTGAAAAGATTTATTGCAATGAAACAAACGCTTGTCGATAACAGATTTCCAATCTTATTCATCATCCAGTACACACAGAATATACAACAATCGCGTATATATCGGCATAGCTCGTTCAAAATAACTTGACTCTCACCTAAATATCTCCCATGAACTCTAAATAAACTAGCCACCGACACATAGGGCAGGAAGGTGAGACCGGATAGTAAATCAGTTCTTTCTAAAACATATGTCGAACAATCTAATAAATAATGCTTTACTGTTTCATAAAACACTTTTTTTCAGAGAGGATGTAAAGGTGTTCTGTAGGACAGAATCAGAAACATAATCTTGTAAGATCTGATGAATTCTTATATAATATTATGAAATCTTTCAAGATCTTGTCAATGCTTGCACAATCCTACAAGATCTGATCAGAAGGTCTTGCAAGATCTTACAGAATCTTGTTGCAAGAAGAATCTTGTGAAATCTTATAAGATTCTTGAACAAAGAGTCTTCTGAAATCTTGTAAGATCTTGTCTTATAGTCTCTTGTAGCATGACCTAACAAGCTCATATTTCAGTATTCTTTGCCCTGGGCTATTTTCACATTAAGAATTACAATTTCCACATAACTTGACTTGACCTAACATGAGGTTTAAATACATATAGAGTATACAAAACATACCCAAGGCGAGTTGTGTGTATATTAAAATTTGACGTTCGAAATTTGAATTTCTCGTTTATTGTAATGCGCCATGCTATGAGCCCATCTCTGATTTGAGCAACATCACAATCGTCAGATCAAATTTCGTGTAGATCCCTAGTGCAGTTGCCTGTTAATTTCATTTTTAATTGTGGTGACGATTATTGTCATCTGTTACATCAGAAAGATGTGCATGTCGTTTAAATCAACAAAAAGAACAACGTCTCTAGTAACATTTCAAGCGACGTCTAATGATCTAATTGCCATTACAGACAGTTGTATGTTTGAACAAGAGAAATTGGTCAAACCATGACAGTAGCATTCTCTCGTGAAGCTTTTATTCTCAAGCACACGACTTTCTTGAATTCTTCTTTCTTGAATTCATATTTTCTTCTTTTATTCAAAGGTACTATAATAGATAACCCTCTTTTTAGTTCAAACTTTAAATCAAAACTCGTGGACTTTGATGGTGCTGGATGCATGCAGCGGGCGATGAGGGACTTACTTTATATTGATCGACATTGGTATCCACTGCATGGCAATTTGCGTTATGAAACAAATAACAAATATGATGACAGTTACCACACTAGCAGTTATTTTTCGTCCGAATTTATCACCCCATGATCCAATAATCAGCAAAAGCAGACCACCAGTTTCCATCATTGTAGCAAGTATAGTACGCTTTGTTCGTGATTTACAAACCATGT